AATTATATTGATTACTTATATTAAGTTGTATAGTTGTATATTTAAATATAGATTTTTTTTTACAATATTTTTCTTAAAGTTTAAATTTATTTTAAAAATGTTTAAACTTTTAGATTCACTATTTTTTTTTTTTTTTTTTTTTTTACTAAGAATTTGCTATTTTATAAGTTTTGATAAAATTTATCTTTTCCTGAATTTTACAGAATTTTAATAAGGTTTTAGTGTAACAAAACCTTTAGATTTTATCCAGAAACTTTAAATTTTTTAAATAATAATTTATTTTAATCAAGGTAATTAAATATATTTTTTTATTAATTGTAAATTATAAAATTATTATAATATTATAAAAATAAAAATCACAAATTGTATAAAAAAAAATTTAGAATTAGATAATAATGTTAAAATCGTTTAATAATATAAAACCTTTGCAATATAAAAGAAAGGAAACATCTAAAAAAATAAAAAATGAGTTAATACTAAATCTGAATATATTTTAACCTAAAAAATCATATTTAGCATGTAAAAATTGATTTTTTTTGGCTAATTTTGGTATTATAATTTAATTTGTAACGGGTAATCACGTGACTTTACACAAACTTATATAGTCTCGAACTTTGATTTTTTCCGGATGTTCCCTCCTATTATATAAGCAAGGCTTTAAAATAGTACTGTAAATTCCGGAATTTTTAAAGAATCCCAGAATCCCCGATAAAAAATTTGATAATGGTTATTTTATAATATTCCAGAAAGATCTGGTAAAATAATTTTTTTCCGGATCCTCAGCCGGTAAAATATTTTCTTTCCGGACTTTTGGCCGGTAAACTTTGATTTCTATTTTAAGCCCTGTATATAAGATTCTAACGTCACCGTTACACGAGTATTTTTTTATTATATAATATGACCGCAGTTTTTAAAGTTCGGACCGAAATTTATACACGTTGGATGATCGTTTAAATAAAGACTGGACTTAACATTTATAACAGTTTCTCATTTCGTTCGCTAAATATATACGAACGCAATGTGGAAGAAGTTAAAGGCTTTGGCCGAGCCTCTGGAGCGTCTTTTGACGACTTTGGAGACTAAAGGAGGACTAAAGTCCAATACAACATACAAGGGTGGAGCTTTACAATTTACTTGCTTTAATAAGCAACAAGTGCAAAAACCAGTTAACAACTTTGCGAATTCAAATAAATCAATAGCTCAAACCAGACTTTTTAATTTTCTTTTTGAAAACTTTTCAATTCTTAAAGCATTTTCCCTCCAACCAGCACCAAAACCTGTGGTTTTTTCACGAACTCCTCAACATTTCCGTAAACCACAAGGGTTTGGAATAATTTCTCAACACGCTTTTCTACAACCTGCTGGAACTAGTAATATATTTGGTCGAGGGGTTAGAAATTTCTCTACTATTCAACCTATGTTGAATAATGGTACTGGCTCTGGTAGTGCAGTTATTGCTCAGTTGAGTTTAAAACCATTTACCACTTTTTCTAGTAAATCTGGTTCATTATGGTTCCAGAAACAAGAATCTTTAAACCAAAATAACAAAGAATCGGGTGATATTAATAAACGAACAGCCAAGAAAAAGGAAAAAGCAATTGGACGCAAATATTTTATCTTAAGTAATAACAAAGGTATTCCTGATATAGTTAAAAATTCTAATATCATCGAAGAGAATACAAACAAAAGGATTGTTCGCAGATCAAATATAAAAAATCTATCAGAAACGAGCAAAGCTGTTGAAAATACACCCGAAGTCCTTGTTAATGACAGTGAAAAAGTTCAAGTTTATATGTCTATTATGCTTAGTTCATCTATTTGCTGGAATAATGATAACTCGACTTCAATGTCTAATAGTACAAATAGTACAAATAGTATTAATTCCACTATATCTTACCTTCTTCAAAATAAGAATAACTCCGTTTCTCAAAAAACCGGTTTGCAATTAAATTCATTAGTTCGACATCTTCAAGAAACTGCAGAAATGCAACATGAACACATGATGAAAGTTATTTCCATATTAGGAGCATTGCTGCAACATGATGACTTTGATGTTGAGATTAATGGGTGTGAATTGCGTATAAATTTCCCGCGTGGTATGCGAAAAATTGAGATTGAAAATTTGTTACAAAGTTTGAGTATTGATCCGAATAGTCCACATTTCGAGCTTGAGGAATTTGTTTTTGATGAAAGTATCGCGATATCTCCTCTAACAGATGAAAATGACGATATGCAATTACCCGATCCAAATAATTATTACTCTGATAACGAACTTGCAGAAACAACAACAGATTTATCTTCTTCATTTGGTTATGAAATTTTGTCATATTTATCAAGTAATGATGGTAGTCCTGTTCTGATACCAAGTAGAGTCTCGGTGAATAGTATAAGTTGCTCTCCATCGCCTTGTATGTCACCTGTCAATTCACCCCCTAGGCTTGGAAGTGAATACATTATTGGCATCCAAGAATTCCTAAATGCTGTTGATGAAGCCCTCGTTAAAAACACTAACATGTTTAATAGGGAAGATGATGAAATTGGAGAGGATTATTATGAAAATTAGGTAGCGTATAATCATAAACCCTTGCCAAGCTATGCAAATACAATGAATTACAGCTGTCTTTTCTTTTCTTTTTTTTTTTTTTATCTTCCTATACTTGAATATTATGCATGTTAATATAAATATATAAAGTTGATTATATAAATATTATAAATAAAGGTTATGATTTTTATTTATAAGTTTTCGTATATTATACATTATCAAGTTATTAAAATCTATTATAAATCCAATCATATGATTAGTTATATAAAAAATTTTATTTCTATAAGACGAGAAAATGAAATAAATATAATTAATCAAGTCAACTTATACTGTGGTGATAATTATAATATCAATATATAAACAAAAAAGTATTATTCATTTAAAAAAAAAAAATATTTGATATTGATATGATATAACGATGTGTTCGGATTTATATGAAAATCTTGAAAAAATGTCAATGAATTTTTTAATACTGTATATCGGTATATCGAGACAGTATTAAAAAATATATATTTAAATAAATATATTATTATAAATCAATTATAAAATAATTATGATATTATATTTATTATAACTATTCTAAATTATTATAATATTAAATCTTAAAATTTATAATATGTTATATTGTAATTTTCTCAATTTATAATAATAAATCAATAGTTTTTTTTTTAATTATATATTTAAAAAGTTTAGGTAATAATTAATATAAATATTATAATAAGTTATAAGATTAAATAAAATTTAAGATAAAATTTAATTTAATATAAATAAAATAAAAGTAAAAAATTTTTAAAATATTTAACTATCTATAATTATAATTTATTTTTTTAACTTAATCTTTTTATTAATATATTATTATATAAAAATTTTATAAATAAATATATAAAATTTATTTGAAAGTAAATAAGTTAGTAATATAATATATTAAAATATAAAAAAATTAGTTTAATAAGTAATAAAACTTTAATATAAATTTTATTTTAATTTATTTTAATCAGAATTAAATTTAATTTTATATGATGATATTTTTACTTTTAATATTTATTTTATATTTTTAATTTATATAAAGTATAATAATAGATTATAATAAAAAAAAAATAAGTATAGTCATCTCATTATAAACACACATTTCGTAAGAACTAATACCTATTAATACTATATAAAAAACCACAGTATTTTTATAGTCATTCTCTTCCAGAACTAATACTTAGTAACAACATATAAAAATCTTCTTGTATAGTAACTTTTTATTATAATCACACTTATTATTTTTAGTCTTGAGGGGTGTGACTATAAAGGAGATGATTGTATTATTAGTAATAGATTAATCTATATAAAAGATTACTTTAATTAGAATTAATATATTTATATTTACAAATAAAACTAATAAATATTTTCTAAAATTAATTAATTAAAAAGGTAAAAAATATATATATTATTTTTAATTTATCATAAAAAAATATAAGTATTAATTAATTAAGAAGTGATAATTTTAATTTAATAAAGAATTTAAAAATTATTTATATTAGAAATAATTAAGAAAAATATGATTTTTTAAAAAATTTTAATATAAGAATTTAAATAAATTATTATTAAAGCTTTATATAATAAAACTTAAAAGAAATTTTAAAAGAATTTAATTAAGTTTATTAAATCTTCTTAATAGTTATAAGTATATGTATATATATAATTTAAATTATTCTATAAATAAAATATTATAATTATTACCTTCTATTTTATATTTATTCTACTTTTTTTATATTATTTAAAAATATAACAATACTTATTATTATATATAATAATAATTACTACTATATTAAAATATTTTAGGCATATATATAGTTATAAATAATTATTATAATATAATGAATACAATATATAGATACCTTGTAATAGTAAAGAAAAAACAAAACTATTAAAAAAAATAAATTTTATTTTATAAGCAATATTGCAAAAGTAATAAAATTAATATATAAAGAAATCCCAAACTTATACAAAAGAACTTATATAATTAATGCTGATAGAAGGTGATATAAAAACAGGCTTTAGTCTAACACAAATAAGCTATAAGATATATATGAATTATATTATAATTATTGTTATCGTTATATACTTACTTTTAATTATATTTATTACATTTAATTGACAAATATCAAAAAATTCATCAACGTATATAGATTAATTTATTATGACAAAAAGAAACAATTTTACCAAAATGGTTCAATCGTAAAATATACTAATCTGTAAAATCATATTAACCATAACTTTTTGTGTTTAAAGAACAAAAAATTTTTGACGTCAAATGTTGACAACCGCAAATATGCGCCACATAATTTCATATAAATTTAAATTAAACAAGATTGTGGCTCATATGCCGATCGTTTTCCGAAGAACGTAGGGCATTACGTACCTAGATCATTCATTTATTTTATTTTACTAAATTTCAATGCTATAACAAATGTCTACTTTCTCGCAAAATCTTCCTTATTCCTCCTCTTTTGAAGGAGAAGCTGAGAGGCTATTAAACGATATAGTTGAAAATTTATGTTCTTCTGCAAAAGCTCAAGATTGGGGCCCGGGTTGTAATCATTGGGTAAAACAACTCAATGGGTAAGCATTCTGAGCAGAATGTGTAATTTTTCAGAGAATTTAAACGAATAAATAAAACAATGGCTAAATTATTTTTATTATTTTTTTATTTGTTAGTTATCTTGACCTACAACACCCTTTATCTCGTCAAACTCGCGCTCAAATAGCTCGCGTTCTTTTTGAACTTGTAATCACGCCGGGAATTGATACTTCACATGCTGAAGTTTTTTCCAATACCTGCGTACGATTGCTCAAGTAGGCCAATTTGTTATTTTATTTTATGTGTATATATATATATATATATTTTTTTTTAACAAAGAAAATATTTTGCATTATTAAAGAAAAAAAGAAAAAATCGGACCAGAGGATCTGACATTGCCTTGGGAACCGTTATATGATATGATTCATAAGATATACTTTCCGAAGGGTCGTCAAAAAACTTTAATAAGTGAATCGTATCCATTAAATGTATAATTGTTAGATCGTGGCTAAATTTTCATTAGACATATTTTTCCTTAAGTTTTTTTTTTTTATTATTTTTCAGTAAACAGATCTCAGCCGTAGTTCGCTTAGTAGAACATGCTCAGAGGTAAAAAAATTTTTATCCGTAAAAATGGTTAGGTCAAGAATTTAAAACATTATTGGTTACATCACTTTCATAGATTTTTTCCTCCTGAAGCTACGAAAGATATCCTTGCTAGGGTGCTTCCACTTTTTCACGCCAATAATGTTGGAGATGCTTTTACCGTACAAGCATTTTTAGTTCGATTCCTTCCAATCGGACCTTCAAAATCACCCGAGTATTCACCTGCAATATGGCTTCCAACAATATTTTCATTTTGGTATCTTATCCCTGGATCTTTGCTGTTTCAAACAGAATTTATTGATCTTGTAGCTCGTGTCGCTGAGGAAAATGTTGTAGTTGAAGACGTTAAACTTAGAAATATTGGAATTTTCACACAGTCTCAAGTCAAGACTGTATTTGCAAGTGGTCATAAAATGATGGATTTGCCTGTTGGTAGTTCAAACAATGGTAATAATAATTCTGTAAGAAGTGGTGGATCATTTGGATTGTCCTCAAGAGTAGATCAAAAAGCTGGAAGTGCTATGATGCTGAGGAAAAAAGTTGTAAGTCAACATTATTATTAATTCTTATTAGGGCAAATAATTTCAAATCTTCTATTAATATCATTTTAGGATAAGTTTAAGATGTTGGCTCGATTTATTGTTTTTACAATATTTTCATCGCCTGTTTCATCAAAAGATGAAACTACTCTCACACACTTGTCCAATATGATTCAAGCTACGGAGACTTTTTATCATCCAAGTAATTTTGGTAGATGGACTTTTTCGATAGTTAGATTTTTGCAGTATCTTGGTTGGGAATTCTTAAAACGATGGACAGATGGTGAATTATTACAATATTCTTACCAATAGTAAATTGTATATTATTTTAAAGATCGAATTATTTGATTTATTAATTGAATCGTAATTTCTCAGAAAACAAATCGGAATGTAAAACTCCCGAATCACGTCGGTTGACCCCAGAACTTAGACGCCAGTTTGTTCTCACTCTTAGAAGTGTTACGTTTTTGTCAATGTTTGGCAAGGATCCCATGTCTGTCGGTTCAAGCCAGGCGGCTTTGAAATATTTAGCGTGTATCCTTCTTATTGTTAAAATGATATGTTTGAAGGTTATCCAATAAATTGTAAATATAATCCATAATTCTCGAATTCTTTTACAGGGTTAGAGCCTACATTGATTTTCCCTGGATTACTAGAACGGGTTTATCCTTCTCTTGAAACCTTAACTGAGGTTTGATTTCTCAAATCTTTTAAATTTTCATAATATGAATATCAGTTAATTTAATTGTAATTTTAGACACATAGGACAACTTCTTCAATCTCTGCACTTTCACTTTTGGCTATTCCATTATTTTCTCGATTTCATTATCCGGCTGGAGGAAAACATTTGGTACATCTTCTTCATTTAACAATCCCCGGTATTGATATGAACGATCCGATAAAGACAATTTCATCTTTAATATTTTTGACTCATGCAATCATGGGAGTCCCTTTAAGAGATTTGACTGAAGGCAATTCCACTGAGTCCGGATTTAGGTGGACTGGTATGGATATTGATGAAAGAGAAGATCATATGGAAATTGATGAACAGGAGGAAGATGCTTTATGTAAATCTAGTACCGCGGCATTTGAAGAGTGGCTTGCAAAGTTTTTAAGACGCGTCTTTACTATTGTATCCTTTGTTACGTGTTAATGACTAACGATATCAAGCGTTATTTTATTGCTCCTTTACTTATTTTTAATGTCTCAATTAGTTTGAGTATCTCCCACAACAAGAGCGCGGAAAATTAAATATACATAATATGGAAACAGGATTGGTTACTGTATTATTGGTAAAATACACCGCATATCTGTATTCAAATAATATATTTATTATTATATATTGAATTACTTTTATTTTTAGCATGCTTGTGAAATAGTTGGAATTCAAATGTCTGAGCAACTTCAGGATATGGCATTGAAAATGGTTATAGATTTCGCGTCCACGACTATACTTCAGAATGCCACAAAACCAATGGGTAATAATATTTATATTTATTTGATCTAGATAAAAATTTGAAAATTGTTAACAAAGAATTGATATTTTATATATAGGTTATCTATGTTCCACCCTAACTAGTCCAAATCGAAGCAAGGCACTTTCACTTTTTATTCCACTCTGTTATTCAAAGATTCTTACAGAACTTCAACACGGTGCATCATCTACACCAACTACTTCATCAACACATCACATCCAATCCGACACAACGTTACATTGGTATCAGTGTATTCTGTATCATGTGGCCATGTCAAGTGGATCTGATCTATTGAAGTACAAAAAAGAAATGATAGAGTTAGGAAAAGAAATGGTGCAAAAATGTCGTTCAAGGAAAGGATACATGTGGACTGGAAAATTTATTCGAATGATGTTAGTTGCCCTGACGCAAATATATCCTTTAGAATGCCGAAATGTTGATCTGGAACGATGGAATTCTGACGGTGAGTAAAACACATTAATCCCAATCTTAAATAATATCAAACTAAATATTTATTTTTTTTTATTTTTTAGAATATATGAAAAACCATCATAAATATTGGGTTGAACCAGGCTGTCACGAAAATATTAATATTGATTGGCATGTACCAACAGACCCTGAACTCGATTTTGCAATGGAAATAATAGATACTTTCTTAAAACCTACTCTTAAACGAATCGAGGATTTAATGGCAAATGGAACTGATGAGGATGGAAAGGTGTTAAGCAACCGTGGAATAACTCACGAATTTTGCCGTTGGTTCAGCGTGGTCAGAAATTGCCTTAGCGGAATGACTACTTTAGTAGAAGACGACGGTGACGATGATGCCTCGGAATTCAAGTAATGAAGCTTATATTAACAGTTCAGAACTTAGGACAAAAATAACAAAATTTGACATTCTAGAGATGAAGAAACCGAGGCTGTAAAACCAACAATATCTATACCTGCTGGATATTGCTTCTTAAATCTCAACGATAAACGAAGACAAATTGCACGTCAATTGCGAAAAGAATTGGGAGAATTTCTTCATAAACTTGTAAATTTTTTCCGAAAGCAACGGGAGGATGATGTTGAAAGCTTAAAGATTCTCCTAAAGGTTTTTTATTTTTATGTTAAATATGTTAAGTATGATATATATATATTTATTTTTTTATATTTATTTTTAGATGATCAAAATTTATCTCACAGATCGAGGAGTTGAGAAGTCCAAGTATGATGCAAGTAAACGCGGTTATCAATATGCAAAAAATATGTTGAAGACTTCTCACCATGACAAGAAATATCCTCGTTATTTACTTGGTAAGTTAAGCATTTTTTTATATAGTTGTTTCATCATTGTGAAAATTAGTTTTATTGATATTATTATTATGGCTTATTTGTAGTAAAACGAGCATATCAACAACATTTATGTCGTTTGAAACAAAATGCGTTTGGTCGCCTTCGAATTCGAGTACATGATAATTTATTAAAGGATTTAGTCGAATTGTCTCTTAGTTCATATTCAGAAATCAGAAAGTAATGAATTCAAAAATTTTATTATAAATTTTGATTTCGCATTATAATTTTTCATATCTAAAAAAAAATTTTTTTAGGATAGCCCAATCTCATTTGACCAATGCGTCTCGTTGCTTTATTGGTGCGAAACCATTTATCATTCCAACTTTATTGGATGCTTTAAAGCCAACTGGTACAGTCAATTTTAAATCTTCTGAAGCTCGATTATTATAATTTGTGTTTTAAATTTTTTTTATAAAACTTATTAGACAAACCGAACTCTGAGAGAATGAAAGGTGCTTTATATTTACTTGGGTCTCGTACATATATGTATACGTGCCTGAGAGATTGGCGGTTTGTGCCTAAATTTATTACTCATATATGTCAGGCTCAACATGATGATAAAGTTTGTAGAGTTTCCTATTTTATTTTTGAATTTTATCATTTATTATACAGAATAATTCTAATAACACGTTCTCTACCAAATTTAGCCTTCAGTACAAGAAATGATACGCAGAATATTTTTTGATTATCTTATGAATTATAATAATACTGCGTTAAAGACAATCTTTACTAAAGGCTTAGAAGTAGCAATAAAACAAGCATTAGAAACTCTTTCGATTACTATGGACGAGAATAAATATAATAGAATTCGAAAGAAAACAGAAGATAGATTAGCTATGCAAAAAAGAGAATATTATAGTCTTGTAAGTTTATCCATCAATGTTTGTTGACAAATTTTGAATGAAATCAATATTCATTTATATTTTATTAGGTTGATACTCTTTTAACACTGGTCAAATCAAATACGCTTCATTGGCGCTTCGAGTTAATGGCTGCAAATTTCTTAGACCTTTTAGTACGACCGGAGGCACCAATTACTTTAGAAATGGCAGAATATTCTGCTAAAGGATTAGTTTCAGAACTTCCTGGTTTAAGGCGTATAGCTATTTCAACAACGACAAGAATATTATTATATATTAAACAAAGAACATTTATTAAGGGTGACCTTGAGTTCGTATCTTTAGGTAAATCAGAAAATCCTCTAAAAATAATTTATGAAACACCGTGTCCTTTAACAGAAGGATACACAGATAAATATTTAATATCCGGTATGACTCCAGTTGATGAAAGTAACGCAGGGAATATGTTTGTATCTGAACAATTTTATTATTTATTTTCAACTCTGGTTATTTCTTCTAGTAAATTAAAATTAATGTGATGTTAACTCAATAGTATTCTTCAAGATAAAGTTTGTGTTGGTTGGTATATTTGGCCTATAAAATTTGAAGCATATTCCCCACGTACGAAAACAAGTGTTATGCCGAAAATTAATCCAGATTCTGAAGCGGCTTATAACAAATTGCTTGAAAATTTTGAATCTTCTCTTTTTTGGTCTACTTTATTGTCATATCTATCACAAGAAACCTCACGAGATAAAGAAGATAATTTCTCTACTTGTAATGCAAATCTATTTAAAAGTATTTTCCAGATCTATGAGGATTCTTTCTTAGACATTGTTAAACCAGAGGTCCTTAAATTATGCAAATCACCGGAGAAAAATCAGCAACGTGCCGCCACAGAAATATTGGCGGGTATTATAAGGGGAAGTAAACATTGGTCACTTAATAGTTTACAAGCATTTTGGAGCTGGATAATTCCTTTATTAGAGCAAACTTTTAATTCAATCACTCCCGATTCTCTTGTATATTGGGATAGATTTTTAAATTATGTCCTGGTGAGTTATACGATTTGTTACATTTATCTTCGATGGTAAAATATTAATGTTTGTATTTCAATATTTAGCGTAATCGTGACCCACGACGAGTATTGCCTCTTGTTGAGTTAATTTTAAGTTTTCGTATCGACCCTACATCTCATGCTTCTTTTGCTGAAGCAAAGAAATTATTATTTATAAGCACTCTTCTTAGTGTTTTTTCATGGCGCGTTCTACCGAGGACGCAACCGTTACTTGAAGAATATTTTGCTAATATTCGTCATCCCTATAAACAAGTACGCGATACTATAGCAGCAAATATTAATTTAGTATTACAGATACAATGGCATCCTTCTGCCGCTAACGTTACAGAGATACTTGAAAGTAATCTCCGAATTGGTGAAGGTGTTGGGTTTGTTGCGTCGGAATTAAATGAAAATCTCAAACAAACATTGTTGGGTTTAGTAGAATCACTGGTAGTCATGCATGCGGAAAAGAAGCCAACTGCGGCTGGTTCTTCAGAATACGGGAATGCTAGCAAGACAAGTAATTATAGTTTTAGTTTTAACTGCTTTTGTAACGTATTACGTCTTTCAATTAATTTCTTATCCACTCGAACTTAGTCCTTGCATGGCTTTATGATGCGCTCACCATGTGGCAGGCTACTGGAACATATCCGTTGATACTTCCTTTATTGCCTTCAGTGTTTCAAATGCAAGACGTTAATGACGACCAAGACCTTCAGTCCATGGCTACTCATGTTTTAAACATCATTGCTTCTTATCCTTATCCTCCTGATATGATACCAATGATGATTGACAAATTTGTCGAAATACTGACAGAATCTTCAAGCTGGCATATTAGAGTAAAAGCTTTACCTGTGCTTCAAGTATTTTTCTTCAAACATCTTTTTATGTTAAGTAAAGATAAGACAGATAAAGTTATGGATGTGGTCTCCAGGATGTTGAAAGATAGTCAGATTGAGGTTAAGTTTAATATCATGATTATTTTCTTAATTTTATAGTTCGATTATATATTTAATTAAATCTTTTTATCATATGAAGGTCCGTCAATTGGCCGCAGTCACGTTATCAGGCCTAATTCGTTGTTCACAAAGAGAAGCTATATCTAAATTAAAAGTAGGATTTGTCAGTTTTCGATTATAATTGAAAATTTGATTTTTTATGATTGATGCTAATACTCCTTTATTTTATAGGATCAGTTCACCAAACTGTTAGAGACAAAAGTTCCGCCACGCAAACGTACAGTACAAGCTCCTCGCGCAATGTTGCCCCCAGGCTTTCAAGAAGCCGTTCTTACACGTCATGCGGCTGTTCTTGGGTTATCTTGTTTGGTTGATGCTTTCCCATATGAAGTTCCAAAGTGGATGCCCGAAATCTTGGTTAAACTTGCTGAATGTATATCGGATCCTGTTCCTATACAGGTAAGTTACTAATTTATGTTTTCAATTTCTCGTTTATTTACCTAATCTATCTAATTTATCTAATTGAAATTTTTAATTACAAGACAACTGTCAAAAAAACATTTGCCGATTTTAGAAGAACACATCAGGATTCTTGGCATGAAGATATGAAACAATTTACAGAGGATCAATTATCTGTTCTATCCGATATGTTGATTTCACCATCTTATTATGCATAAAGTGGTATTGTATCGGGTTTATGTTTTTTATTATTATTTTTTTTTTATTCATTCCCGAAAATTTAACTTCAATAAAGTTAACTTACTTATGTTCCTTTATGATATATTTACGTGTCTTGACATCTATTATAAAGATAAAATATTATGTAGACATTCTCGAGATCTTCGATTAGATTCGTCAATTATCACGATGTCCAGTGCGAATTTTTAACACACAACTTATATTGATGCTTTCACATAAAACTTCATAAAAAAATTTTTAAAATATTTTTTTATTTAAATTAAATTTTATTTAATATTTCAAAAATTCCAATTAAAATTAGTTCAATGCCAAAATGAAATAAAATATTCCAAACTATTTGAAATAAATATTTAGGCGAAAATACCGTCCAAATAAATAAATGATTTCTTAAGATCATAACTCCAATAGATAAAGTAAGTATTACAATAGAATGAAACAATGATGTGTATATATAATAATCAGAAAATAAAGTTATATTTAAAGATGATGAATCGTGTATTATTTTATCATTTTTAAATCCTTTTTCTTTACTATTATTCATTTCTTCATTATCAATTTCTTTACTTAATTTCCGACGTATTAATATCTCCTTTCTTAATATAATACTGGCAAAACACCACCAAATAGGTCCACTCCAGTTTCCCAAGAAAGTTAACAATCCAACAAACGTAACATTATAGTTATTTATACCAGTATATGAATGACTTATGTCAATAGATGATAATGAATTAGAATTACCTAAAGAGAAAAATGATAAAAATTCAAATGATATTATTAAAAAATTATACGATAATGGGGTTAATAATGTATCATTATTAGTAGTAGTAACAGATGAATAATTCAATAATTTGAAAAATAAATAATATTGTAAATAATATAATCCGTATAATGGTACGTTATGTGGTCTTGATAATAAGATAAATAAATATGTTATTAAACATAATGTTATTTTCGGAAAATTTCTTAAACTCGACCCTATTGAAAAAATGTTTGAAAAATATTATCATCAAACTAAGATCAAGATATAAAATAAAATAATAAAAAAAAAGGATAAATACCTTTATCGGATTTTGCATTTAATATCATACCAAACTTACATAGGACAAGACTTATAACAAGTAGCACATAAATAAGCCTGGCAAGTGCTGTAATTTGAGTTGTCCGTACGATCAATGACGTCAAATGAAATAACTTGGGAAACAATTTCACATCTCCATCCAATTCTAACTTATATTTAGTTACAGATATTGCAACGATGATCACCAATAATTGCGTAATAAGTTGTAAAATAGTACTTTCCCGTGATTTATTAATGATATATAATTTGTGAATTTCTCGTAAAGTGATTATAGTTAAAACAGAAATTGTACTAAAATATAAGATCCACATTAAATTAATGTATGATGTGTTAAGGTAGAATTTTAGATCAATCTCTCCAGCAAATTTTTGACCTAAAACATATAACGAATCGATTTAATTAAATATTTTTAAAAAAAAACAAAAAACCGAAATATGCTATGATTCATAACTCACCGGTTTGATTCCAAGTTCTAATCAATCTAATTAATATCATTTGACACACCAGAACAAATGCTTGTTTTATAAACGGTGTCTTAATACTCGATCTAAAGCTGTATGTATATCATCATAATCAAGTTGTTAAACAAAGTAAAATTCAAGACATGCTAGACTATTAACATTTTTCTGAGACTTGCCTTAAAATGATAAATGAGATCAGCATAGTCTGTGTCCAATAATACCAAAATTGATGTTCTTCTTCAATATAACTACTCGCAAACAAAGTGAAACAAAATGCAACTGTTCCAAGTACACTAAGGAATTCTAAATGACTTTGTAAACTTTTACTTTGATTGTTAAATTGTTTGTTCCATTGAACATACGAATCTAACATTGTAACAAAATAATTCGTCACAGCAAGGACCATAAAGCATAATCCCACGAACATTGATACAAGATCATAATCACTAAAACTTGATGCAAGGCGGGAACCAGACTTTGCAATAAACTAATTTTTAAAAAAAAAAAAATACTGTTTAGACATATGCTAAGAATGAAAAATAATATTACGGGAGCTTTACCTTGTTATAAAATGACAACGCATCATTAATATAGCTGATGTCATTGACTTCCAGAGATTTTGCGTGATTATAATAGGCCATCGAATACAAGCATTGCAATTGTATCTGATCATCATCAGAATTAATATCACAATCCAATTCACTTTGGGCAACGTTAGGGTTACGATCAAATGATGACCATAATGACTTTAATATACCAGATATTTGATGTGCATTTAACTGCAACGCACGCAATTTCTCCAAAGCTAAAGTATAAAATCCCAACGTGAGGTTAGATTGAACATGATCAAAGAACTCTGAAAGAATTTAATTTTTATCACCATCAACATCGCCTATCAAGTCTAACAACAACATTCCCAAATTATTCTTTGGAATAGGAATTCCAAACAGATAACTGATAGTAGAGACGAAATCCACCTGGTTTATTACTTTGTAAAAATTCATGGAATGCTCATCGTGTGGTATACTAAATGTTTCAGGAACATGCTTCATGGAGATGAATTCGGAACTCATGAAAACAAATGCCTTGTAAGAAACAAAAGAATATTTCTTTAACCTTACATACTCAAACTAAACCGTATAAAGTTATAATAGATAAAGTGAGCTTACGGTTGATATTTCACCATGAGATGAACCACCGTGATTTCCTGCCTTTACATAAGAAATCCTTAGTAAGTATTGGATTGCAGTTGATAAAATGCGGTGGTAATTTCCAAACCTCATTCATTCCATGGTCTCCACATAACACAAAAAGGGTGGACTTCGCATTAGGATCATCCTCAATCCTTTTCTTGTCCTGCTCCAATATGGTCTCATAAATCACCTTCACAACTTCATCCATCTCATATTGCTTTGGTAACATCAAAGGACTACGAGGTCCACTTGAATGTCCAACATGATCCAATCCAAGGTAATGAAATATCAGAACATCCCATTCAGACTTTGACAATTGTGGAACCACATTTCGAGTTACATTAAGATCAACTTCAACAGTGTCCTAAATTAATCAATTGCAATTTAAGATAAGCGGCGCATATATAAATTAGAAAGAATGCCGAAGAATACATACCGCAGCGAAGAAAGAAGTAGTCCCATCCGTTTCATGGAATAATCCAGGAAAAAGTTTTATCCAAGTATCATCACCAAAAAATGATATGGACTTATTACCAACATTCTTCAATTGTACTAACCAATTATCTTGATATGATAATGAAGATGAAGTATCAGATTCTGCAATGTTAAGAATTGCGTCCAAGAAATTTGGTACAGTTCCTACACAATAAATAAGAAGTTTTAGATCGATTGAAATTTTTTTAGTTGAAAAGTACAATTTAGACGTGTTACCGGTCGTTAAAGCTTTAATTCGAGGTAAAGTCACCGTTGGAGCAGTCGCTATCGCTGTGTAAGGAATGGCGAGTCGCTCTGAAATAAGGCTGACGGAATTATGATTAGGATTTCACTAATTCGACGCATTTTGTCTATGAAAAAGTGAACCGAAATTCGTTTATTTACCTTTGAACGAATTTCAATCCAGAATTATTTCCAAACACGAAATCGCTATAATTAATTAAAATGTCAACGTTTAATTAGACCAATTAAACGAAAATTGACGAATATAAAGATTAAAACCTTCTTAGTGCATCAATTAGCATAAAAACCAATCGATCAAATTTTGGCTTTGGTGGTAATATTTTTTCTCCAGTAGGTAATGGAGGTAAGTCATTTATTGTTGACAGGCCAGATAAATTGGCTTTGTATGGGAAAAACCCTTTTGCAAAAAAAAAAATTCCTAATAATTGAAGTATGAGAATATTGAATAAAATTTGCCATTTTTTTCGTGCGGAATAAGAATTATTCATGGTGGATGAGTTCGGGTAAAACGTGTTGAAACACGAATTTTTAAATTTAAACGTCACGTGAATTGACAGACAGGATTTTTTTTTTGAATCTTATCGTTATCATTTTTACAAAAAAAAAAAAAAAAAAAAAAAAAAATGTCAATTGTCGTTAGACTATGGAAATCGTTTCAACCCTCAACGTACCCACACAGAAATTCTTTAATAAAGATTGGAAAGGTACAACAATTATACATCACTAGCATTGCAACACATCATTCATTTTTATATGATCCTCCCAAGAAAAAAGATATTTCCAACTCTTTAAGACAAGTAGCACCAAAAGAAGTTTTACCACTTTTACAGTCGATTTATCAAAATGATACCAAAGAAACCTGGAGATTATATTTAGAACTTTACAATAAAAAACAATTACATCTTTTATCACCTTTACAACATTCCAGAGTATTAAAAATTTTTTCATTTGAAAAAAAGTTTCGATGAAAAACAAAGATACACTTTAGAAAATCAAGTTTTTTTTATCTTTAATAAAATGAAAAGTACTGGCATAGAACCAGATGTTAATGATTTTACCCACATGTTGAATACATTTAGTTTAATAGGAAATCCTAAAGTATGTGATAACCTTTGGGAAGAGATAATCAAAAGAAAAATTCAACCTACAACATATATGTATAATTCTTATATAACTTCATGTTGGCGCATGATTAAATCACGTAAAGGAAAGGAGGAAGGATTTCGAAGAGCGCAAAGGGTTTTGATCAGTCTTAGAAATAGTGGTAGGAAGCCAAATGTAATAACAAATTGCCTCTTGGCTCGATTGTTTTTAGCATCAAATGATTTGGGATCTGCTCAAGGTTTACTTGAAGAGACATTTTCTCAAAAAAATCTCTCAAAAGAATTAACCAAGCAAGAAATTTTACGTAGCGAATCAATGATCATCCACACCTTTAATTATTTAATGAATGCACACGGAAATGCAGGAGATTTATCAATGATGGATAGATGTTTTCGACTTTTCATAGAAATCAAATTGCCACCGCACATTTACTTGTTTAATACTCTCGTTAGAAATTCTAGTAGGATAGACATGGATAAGGCTAAAAGTTACGTTGAACAAATGATCCATGAATTTAATTTAAACCCAACTCATCAGATATTTAGTTATATCTTATTTAATTTATGTGAAAAAGGGTTAACTAAGAAAGCTGTAGAGTTTTTAAATGTTATGAAAGTCGAATTTAAGTCCCCTCCTTCCGAGTTAATGTTGGTAAAGATTTATAAATCCATGTTGAGAAAAAAAAGATATGTTGAGGCAAAAGAATTTGCGGTCCAATGGAATGATAAAATAAATCTATCACGTGACGATAGTCTCCCTGTGCGACAACACGTTGTTGACTTTTCATCATAATTCAAAAAAAAAAAAAAAAATTTTCATCTTTGCCAATAAAACAAAAAAATGTCCTTTCTTCTTAACCTTGGTATGAAAGCCCTCTCATTGTGCCTCATATCTCTTTACGTTTAACGATTCGTCTAATTTAAATTTTGTGTCTTAGGTCAAAGAATTCTTTTTAACCCCGTGGTAGCACATAGTTCAAATAAACGTTTATTCCAGAATATTACGAAACCTTTCAGTACCAAAGCAACCCCTCACCCCTTATTATTAACTAATTATTATACACAAAAAAATGGATTTCAAAGTTCCCCTTTTCATTTCATTAATCTTACGCATGTCACATTAACACCTCCCGTTTTTATTAGATGTAAGTCTACTAAAATGAAAACTCATTCAGGAGCAAAGAAAAGGTAAAATGAACCAATTAATTTAATCCTCGAATTGAATTATCGACATTGGATCAAAAATTATCTTACCATAAACGTTCATATAGATTTCGTGTTTTAGGTAATGGAAAGTTTAAAAGGTCAAAAGCCGGTAAAAGACATTTAAACACTGGTGTTTCCCGTTCTAAAATTAGACGTTTAAGCAAACCGGCCTTTGCACATAGTTCTCAGATGAACCATTTGAAAAAACTTATGCCTTATGCCTAAAAGTAGATTTTAAATGTGAATTTTTTAAAAATAGGATTTCATATGTAAAAAATACAAAGGCTTTTGTTTAATTTTATCGTCGTTTAGATTCAATGCGTTTCATTAAAACTTTACCGCCGATTGTTTCCAAGATTTTATTTTTAAATTAGAGATCGTTTTCATGTTTATAAACGGGATCATAGAATTACTTCAATGGAAACAAGGAAAGGAATTAATTCATTCAAAAAGGAAATATAAATATGGGTACGTATTTGCTTATTAAAATTAAATAAACAAAAAGGAACACAACATAATTTAACTAATTAAATGTAATTTTAAATATGGTTTTAAATGATGCTTAAAATGTGTGTATCATCTTAAAAAAAAAAAAAAAAGAGCATTGACCAACATATTTTTAAAGTTTTAAACCCTTGTTGACTAAATCAGGGATACAAAACCCTTACAGAGCATTAATTTCGCACGGTAACCAATCGTAATTCGTAATACGCTAACGCAAATTTTTTTTTTAATTGGATGAATGCATTTCTAAAGTATTATAACTCTCAGGGGTTCCTAATTAAATTTTTTTTTTCCAAAGAAAATTTTTTTGGTTTATCCCCTGTTGCGTTCGCAAAATTTTCACACTATTAACTTAATATCCTAAAGATGCAACAGACACTCCAGCACGAAAACCCACAAATTACTAATACTAACGCACTAACAATTCATACGACACAAAATACGTTAACTCCTCAAATTACAACAACACGCGGTACAAATTCTACAAGTCATGTTCTTACTAATACTATAACTTCTACACAACAACAACAACAACAGCAACAACAACAACGTTCAGGGCCACGTTCCCCCATTGTCGTGGGTCTTGCCGCCTGGGTGCAGCCAACCGGTGCTGGAGTTGGTGCTGCAACATCAGAAATCATTGCGACGCCAGTGACAAGAACTAAAGCTTCACCGACAAATCCCCAAATTTCAGGAACTGTGGATGCCTTTGCGCACTCTTCTGCAGCCATTCTACCTTCAACGCAGCCTCACTTAACATATCATAACTCTTCCAACACGTCGACCGTTCCCGTAGTTACCATATCTGCTCTCTTAACACCTGACCCACGAACCGAGGAACTCTTGGGAGCCTTAACAATTGAACAATTGTCAATGATCGAAAGGACCGTGCAACGTGTTAAGAGGAAAAAGGCTAAAGAATCCAAAAAGCTAAACCCCTCGGATGAAATCGCCAACGCTACCACTGACATGGATAGCCTTGTCGTCAATATTAATGTGCATAATTCGACTACACAAAACACGTCAATCTCAAATTCTACATCAATTTCACCGGTAACTTTCATTAACAAAGGTAACAACAATCATTACTTATCTTCTAATTTTGTAACATCATCATCATCACAGGATCCATCAAGATCAACAATTGTAAATCATTTATATCCAGATCATCATCATTATCAACAATCTATACACGAGAACCAACAAATACGATCACATCAAAATCAACAACAACAAATAAATCTACAGCAACACCAATTTTATGCCCCGCATCAATATCAACAACCTTCTCCTCTACCAACTTCTGAAAAGTCACGACAATCAACAGATACAATGTCTCCAAATAAACTAGATATTCCGATTTCAAATCCCACACCAAATCATGCCCTTCCGGCTACGGATCCCATAATTGAAGAATGTAATGGAATACCGTGGGTTGTCTTCACTTATTCAGTTAAAGGTAACAATAAAGAATATCGTATACGCATTGATATTGATAAAGCAAATTTAGAGGATATCGATGAGCAATTCAGACGCGAAAATTGTCTGTATCCAAGGGCTAATTGCACCGAAGATAAATATAAAGGAAACAGGTGGTCTTATGAAAATGAATGTAACTCTCTTGGATGGAAGTTAGCATGGTTAAATAAAGAAGAGATTGGAGGTAGAAGAGGGTTGCTACAAAGAGCCGTGGATAGTTACAGAAACCGAGATCCCGTGTTACGTTCTCGTAGAGTAGTTCGTAACGAAAAGATCATGAATGGAACTTTACGTAAGAGAGTTACGAGAGACGGAGATGTGCATGATGGTATAAATGATAATTCAGCAAAGAGACAAAAAGGTGTTGCTAAACAATTGACATTGGAATCTTTTGAAAAAGGTACATCTACTAAAATTAGAATACGTGTTGATGTAGATGCTATAAATTTAATGGAGATACCTGAAGAATTTAAAAAGAACAATTGTATTTTTCCAAAAGCTAATGTGCCAAAAAATGAGTATCAAGGTTCTAATGAGACGAATATTAACGAATTGGGATGGAAGTTGGTGAGATTCTTAATCTTTGCTTCTATTTTTTTTTACTGTCATTTTTTTTTTTTTTTAATTTATCTGAATAATAACAACAATTTTTTTGATGATGGAAAAAAAAAAAACACCAAGGCTTTTCTTAATCAATCTAAACTTGATGGTAAGAAATCACTCCTTCAAAAAGCGATAGATTTATATCGAACAAAGTATAACACTGCAGAAATAAGACCTAGAAGAGGAAGATATTCACATACGCTTTCCAATAAATTTTTTGAGAATCATCCGTGTGAAGTCACTTCAGGTGGCATAAATTCTATTAATCCTTCAACTTCGCTCGTTAACAATACTGAATTCACAACGGAAGCAAATTTGAACGATACCGTTTCAAATGGATCATCAAAAGAATTTACAACGGAAGGAACAAATAATATGGATGAATGATGTGACCCAAACAAATTAAAACCTCAAAAGTTTCATACTAATTCATCAGCTCAGTATATAACATTTTACTTATTCTTAACGTATCTAATTTTTTTTTTTTTTGTTCATTATTCCCTTTTTATTATTTGATCAAGGATTTAATTCTCTTTAGATTGTTTTTAGAAGTCCATTTTCTGCCTCTTATAATATATATATATATATATATCTTGTAAATTGGGTTTTATAATATTATAATTATTTTGTTTTGGATTTTTATATGGAATTATTTTAGTAGTAAAAAAGATTTTTTATATTTTGTACAGACTTGAATCATAAATAAAATAAAAAAAATTTTTTAAACCTAACAATTTATTATTCATAATGTTACTATACAAAAAAAAAATAGAAAACAGGATGAAATGAATAAGGGAATTTTCATTATTTTTTTAAATTTTTTGGAAACCCATCAGAATTTAATAAACTTTCATCATTTTTGACCCTAGGACCATTGCCAACACAAGTGTGTATAATTTGTTTAACACTATCATTAGGAAAAATAGGAATAATATTTTCATTAAAATTAGCGGGTAAAGGTAAATTACCTATTTTTCTATCCGAAAATAATTTAAAAGGATCCGAAAAAAATGTTAGATTTTCTCGACTTGGAGGGAAAAATTTGAAAATTAAATTAATAATTTCGGGAATATTTTGTTTTAAAGCATAAATTACAGCATTAGGACCGGCATCAAAGGTATAGGCAGCTTTACATTCACCAGATTTATCATTATATTCGGTGATGACACTAATTATGGCACGAGAAGTATCATTAAGGTAAAAAATTGGAGGAAAAGTATCTAAACAACAAGCATGAAATTGATTTGAATCTTTCATGGTTAATTCAGCAAATTTGCTAAAATCCTTTCGCAAAATAGAATCTGTCATTAATTTCATACGTTCAGGTACAACATTATCAATACGATGTTGAAGTAACGTTGAAGTTTTAACGGTACTTTGCATCCCTTCTGTACTAGACGTCCCTTTCTTTGCATCACTTATTACACAAATTAATGCTTCTAATTCCGGCCAATGATCAGAGGAAGCGATTTGTAACGCTTGACTATCAGATCCATCTCGTTTTGATCCCATCTGCCAACTAACAAATCCACCAAACAAGGAACGACAAGCCGAACCAGAACCTTGCCTTGCGATCTTTGATAACTCCGTAGCGGAAACGGGTAATTCATATAATTGTGATAAAGTGTAAACTAAACAAGCAAATCCTGATGCGGAACTAGCTAAACCTGCCGCTGTAGGAAAATTGTTTTCCGAACAAATGTGTAAATTATAAGTGGATAATGATAATACATTATCCATACCAATTTCTTTACCCAATTTTTCTTCATAATCTTTACGTAAGAGTTTTGTTTCTCTTAGACAATTCTGTATCCGTTTGTTGTTAATGAGGTTGATCTCTTCGATACCGTTAAGCCATAACCGCGTTTTTTCAAATAATGGTGATGCTCGAATCGTGGTTTTGCTTTGTAAGTGTTCTTTTGATAATGTGACGGAAATTGATGAATTGGTTGGTAATATCAAATCTGTATCTCTCTTTCCCCAATATTTTATGACCTGATATCGTGAAAAAAAAAAAAAGGTTTACAATTTTTCTTTAAAAAAAAAAAAAAAAAAAAAAATGTTAAGAATAATGATGATGATTTTATTTGTACTTACGGCAATGTTTACTGGACTAGTTGCAGTTTTTTCATGCGTTTGTACCATCCTTTTTTGGGGAGAGGAAAAAAATAAGAAAATTACAAAAAAAAAAAAAAAAAAAAAAAGCGGAGATTTTTAAGATTTAGGGGATTTTCATTCTTACTCCCTATTTTGGTAAGATAATTTGGAAGATCAGCGATATTTAAAAGAGACGGTTTAAAAAAGAATTGGTTGACAGAGTTTTATTTCCCCATCATCAAATATAGAAAAAAAATTATTTAAAAATTTTTTAAAATAAAAATGACGACAAAATATACGGATGTTAATGAATTTCCTCAAGTAAGAAATTTATTTATTTATTTATTTTATTTTATTTTTAAAGAAAAAATAAACAAATAAAAAATATATATATATATATATGACGAGCAATTGAACTCCTTTTTTTTTTTCTTCTTTTAAAATATATAAATAAATAAATAAATAAATATATAAGATTGTTGAGGAACTTCGAAATTCTTTCAAACAAAATTTAACGAAACCATTAAATTATCGTAAAAAACAACTTGAACAATTGTACAATTTAATAGATGAAAATGAGGATGAAATCTGTGATGCATTGTACAAGGATTTACATAAAAATAAAATCGAATCATTATTAGGAGAAATTGATATGATTAGACAAGAATGTTTGGATTCTATTAATCAATTGGACGAATGGACCTCTCCCGAATATGTTAAAGTTTCTTTGGCGCATAAGTTAAACAGATGTCATATCAGGAAAGATCCCGTTGGTAAGTACTAAACCTTTTCAAAAATTTTAAATTTTTCTTTAAATTTTTAAATTATTATTTTTGTTTTTTTAGGAACGGTTCTCATAATTGGAGCATGGAATTATCCAATTACTTTGGTATTATGTCCATTAGTGGGGGCGATAGCAGCAGGGTGTACGGCAATAATCAAACCATCAGAATTACCGATGAATTCAGCAACCTTACTTTGCAAATTATTTCCAAAATATTTGGATCAGAGATCATATAGGTGTATAAATGGAGGATCAAAAGAAATGACGGAATTATTAACTTATAAATTTAACCATATATTTTTCACAGGATCAGGGGTGGTGGGTAAAATCATCATGTCGGCCGCGTGCAAACATTTAACTCCCGTCACACTTGAATTGGGAGGGAAAAGTCCCGCAATATTAGATGATAATATCAATATTACCGTAACAGCAAAGAGATTGATATGGTCAAAGTCATTTAACGCTGGTCAAACGTGTGTTGCACCAGATTATGTCTTGTGCACTAAAAAAATCCAAGAAGCTTTACTTTTAGAATTTCCTAAAGTGATAGAGAATCAATTCGGAAAGGATGTACAAAAATCTTCAGATTATGCTCGTATAATTAATCAAAGGCATTTTGATCGTTTAACAAATTTATTGGATCAAACCAAAGGAAACGTAGTTATCGGAGGTAAAACCGATCGTGACAATTTGTTTATCGATCCTACTATCGTCACTAATGTACCCAAAGATGATAAATTAATGGAAGATGAGATATTTGGCCCTATTTTACCTATTGTTGTCGTTGAAAGTATCGATGAAGCCATTGAATACATTAATGAAAAAGACACTCCTTTATCTTTATATCCCTTTAGCAATAATAATGATACCATCAAACAAAGTAAATATAAGGACGTTTGAAATTTTATTTTATTTTATTTTGATTTTTTTTTGATTTTTTATTTTTTTTGATTTTATTTAGTTTTGAATAATACGCGGTCCGGTGGTGTAACTGTTAACGATTGTCTCATTCATTATACCGGTAAGCGAACAAATTTTAACATCATCTCCCCCCTTTTTAGACTGACTTTACACGTTCTCTTTTGCCAATTAGTGCCAAATTTACCATTTGGAGGAACAGGAGCATCGGGAATAGGAGCATATCATGGACGTAAATCATTTGAAACTTTTACACATGAAAGGAGCGTATTAACGTCGCCATTTTTAACCGAGAAATTGTTAGAAGGAAGATATGCTCCATATAAAGAATTGAATTATAAATTATTAAATTGGTTATTATTTACTAAACCGAAATTTACTAATAAACGTAACGCAAAAGAAAATGGAAGATTCAAAAATATTTTTAAAGTATTATGCGTTATTTTGTTCGCTTATACTGTTAAAAATAAAATATTTGTGCGGAAGATTAAAATGTAGGATTAATTTATTTCAGATAATATGCTTTGAGAAGGGGGGTTTTCTTTATTTTTTTTTATTTTTTATGATTAATAATTAAGATTGGAAATATAAATAATCATATGTTCCTCAATTAAGAAGAAACATTTCTGCATCATAAATAAAATTGATTTTATTTTTCAAAAAAAAAAAAAAAAATAATAATAATAATCCTATTCTTTTTTTTTTTTTTTTTTGGCAAAGGAGAGGACCATGTCACAAGAATTGCTACTATTATATCAACATAAAAAAAACTATGAATCTGTACAAGAATTTGAAATTATACACATTATTCCATATCCATATCAAATACACCATGATCTTGATGTTCTTTGTTATCTAGAAAGGAAGATGATACTCTCAATCAGAAGGAAAAATTTTTTCTTTTTCAATTTAGGATAAAATGATTTACATACCATGAACATCATCATCACCACTTTCACCACCAGCCGTGTCACTGTGTTTATCATTACCACCTTGTTGCTGGAGTCCAGGAAAGGGATGAACATTTGGAGGAGCCAAATGTCCTTCTACCTGAATTGCCGTATTTTTGTTATTATTATTATTATTATTATTATTGGGTTTTGATGGGTTATTATTATTATTCTCATTATTAGGAACTTTTGTTACTCCAGGAACATAAGCCAGGTTAGATGGTGGAGTTTTTGCCAATGGAGAATTGGCAAGATTAAGTAATGTGGTACGATCATACATAATTTTTGATCCTTATTTTGAAAGAAGTGATTTAGTTGATCATTCTATCTTTTGAAACGTAATTAACGCGTTGTGGAAAGCAATTACCTCCAGGCGTACTAGAATAAATTGTCCCTAAAGGCGTTGTACTATAATTTGCCGGAAGCGGCGTTCCAGGTTCAGCTTTCTTTATGGCGGGAATATCTCTAGCGTTTGTTGACATTTTGATAAACTTTTCTCAAAAAAAAAAAAAAATAAAAAAAAAAATAAAAATGTTTAAAGATATTCGTTTGCAGAGTTTTCTATAATTTAAAAAGAAAATTCTTTTTTTTTTCTACCCGATTAAAAAAAAAATTTAACCAACTAAAAGATTGTGGTAAAGAAACCAGATTTGAAAAAAAAAAATTCCTTTTTATATGTCATGATTAACATGTATTGGTTGCACCAAAACTCTCGGGTGATATTTTTCCTTATTTGTAAAAAGAGATTCGATCGCACCATTAATAACGATTGGGATTTTTTTTTATTTATTTATTTTTTTTTTTTTTGACTTGTGACTTTGTAAAAGAACTTGCGTTCGAACCAGTTACAAGTCAATTATCGTGACCAATCGTGTCGTAACCAATAAATGGTATTCTTGGATAATTGCTTTACGCGTTTTTTAATAAGTGTGTTACATGAAAGATCGTGTAATTTAAATCATAAAAAAAAAATAATACGAGGAATTCATATTAACAATAAAAAAAAATGGAGTAAAAATATCCTAGATTTTTTTCATGGACAAAACTTTAAAAAATCCATTTCAAATTGATGTGGTTACACGAGATCAACTTACAATGCTTTGTTATCCATAAAACTATTTGGCTTTGGCCAATTTTGCCGGCCGGCCAAAATGGCTAAAAAATTCTTGACCGCCAATCAAATCCTCATAATTATTTAATACATTTATTAAATTTGACTGTTTTGAGCATTTTTTGGCCATTTTGGCATTGGGCCACGTCCAACAAATGGTCAAGAGATCTCTTGGCCTAACGATTGGAATTTAATGAATTTAAGCATTAGCATCGTCATTCAAATAAACTTTTGGTAACTTGAACCATGAACGAATGTTGATACAACAACGCTTTCGTAATAATATTTACTTTTTAGTAAGTTTATGGCCAATATAGTAATCCGAATATATGCTATTAATAAAACTACATTTGGTAAGTAAGGCGACAATAAAATCCCTGGGTTTTAATTAGATTTCCTATGCATGTAATTCTTTCTCACATTCATTCCTATCGCTATTGGTGTTTTAATACTTTCAATTAAGGTTGTACAGAATGTTAAAAAAAAAATTTTGAAATACTCAAGTTTAGTTCGGCCTTCATTTATTTCTCTATTAAGAACGATGAAAAACAAATATATTCGGATCACAAAGAAAATAAAAAGATACCATGAGGCAATGAGTGGTTCTTTCTGATCATACTTGTACATCTTACATAAATTAAAAATAAATCTATTTGGGCAACTCATATACTTGCATCTACATTTTGTTTTTTATCATTAGAAATTCGGATGGATGTGGGCGTACAGATATCAAACTTCCTTAAAAGGATCTAAATTTAAACCAATACCACGCGGTCATTTTTAATAATGAAATATCTTCAATAAATATTGGACAATTTTTCCATTTTCTTTTTTCTTTAAAAAAATATTTTTAAAAAAAAAAAGCAAAAAAAGCTGATCTTTGACAATCTCGCACCTTGACATCCCAATAAACACCACACTACCTTTATCAAAAATAAAACAGAAAGCTTCTTTTTCCCTTTTTCTTTTCTTTTTCTTTTTTTTTTTTTAAAAAAAACAATAACTCTTTACACAATAAAAAAGATGCCACCATCAGCAACTGTAAGTGAGCAACAAAAGTTTACAGGACATATCGGTAATTTAAGTCCTCAACAACAAGAAACATTGGATAAATTTCGTGAAGAAATCAAGGAAGAAGGAATATTTGATGAAAAACGTCATGATGATGCATGTTTATTAAGGTTCTTACGTGCACGTAAATTTGATTTAGTTAAAACAAAAAAAATGTTTACGGATTGTGAAAAATGGCGTAAAGACTTTGGTGTCGATGAATTAGTAGCCACATTCGATTATAAAGAACGTGATGAAGTAATGAAATATTATCCAAGGTATTATCATAAGACTGATAATGATGGTAGACCAATCTATATTGAAGAAATTGGTAAAGTTGATGTAAAAGCTTTATATCAAATCACTACATTAGAAAGGCAAATTCAAAACCTAGTCGTCGAATATGAAAGATTGGCTGATGTCAGATTACCTTCCTGTTCTGAAAAGTATGGTAAATTAATTGAAACCTCGTGTACCATTCTTGACCTCAAAGGGGTTAGTGTACGTTCCTTTTCAAACGTTTTTGGCTTCGTCAAACAAGCTTCCAACATTGGTCAAAACTATTATCCTGAGCGTATGGGTAAATTTTATATTATCAACGCTCCCATGTTATTTTCTTCTGTTTGGAATTTAGTTAAACCTTTATTAGATGAAGTTACTGCCGCAAAGATTGTTATACTTAATTCAAAATATCAATCTACTTTATTGCAAAATATTCCTGCAGAGAATTTACCTTCCACTTTTGGTGGTAAATGTCAATGTGAGGGTGGTTGTCAACTTTCGGATGCAGGTCCTTGGAAGAAAGGTGGGATTGTTAACGGTGCATCATAATCTCTTCTATTTTTTTGTATATATCCGAAGTGATAAAGAACAGATGGGAAAATTATCTTTCAAAAAAAAAAAAAAAATAAAATATATATATATATATTTATATATTTATATATATTTTTCATAAAATAGAGTATAACCCTTTTCCCAATTTATTATTAACCGACAATTAAGCGAACATGGTTGAATTAATTTAGTTTTTTTTTTCTTTCTTTTAAAAAAAAACTTCTTATATTTTTATTTCTTATAGATTTTGTCTTTAATAATAATAAATTATAGTAACAAAAAAAAGGGGGAAACGATTGCAAATAAAAAATCAAATTTCACTTAACAAATCTCTCTCACATAAATATTTATTTAATCATATAAAATGCAATCACCTTAAAACTTCATTTTGAAGTTATGATCTTTCGATTTGCTTGGCTATCGATGCCTGACCATTTGATACTTGAGAAAACGATGACTTTCTCAATTCATCAAAAAAATCATTTCCATTTGCCATTAAATGTCCTAAATAAATTAAAATTATTTAATAGCATTAACATGATGTTAATTATTTCATTCTGAAAATAACCTTTTTGTCCCCACACAAGGCCATTTCTAGCTCCCCAAGCCCTTTCGGTCGATTTATACAATTCGGGTTTTTCTATTAAACGAATCAAAACAAAAATTATTTATATATTATATAATTTACTATTTTTTTTATTTATAATTACCTGATTCAGGTAGATTATCATCATGAAATTGTTCCAATGTTTCTTTCCAGGCTAAAAGGAAAAAAAAAAAAATTAAATAAAAAAGAAAACCATATAAGCTTTAATTCATGATTTAGTCGGCTCATTTACTGTTATTCAAAAAATCTGAAACTTCTCGAGCATTAAAGTTATTAACAGGAGTGTGTTCGAGAGCTGGTTTCAAGCTAGGTAAAGCTGTAAACGAGTTGTGATTGGAAGCAAGCGTTGTGGAATTTAATGGAACCGTTGAATAAGGAGTAATCGTCCCTGAAGATGGTGTAATAGCATCATATATATATATATTTTTTTACCAGATATTTTAGTTTATAAATTTTATAAAAAAATATTTATTCAAAGAGAATTTACAGTAAAACAAAAAAAAAAAAATTTTTTCTTATATCTTACCGAAAGAATTCTTTCTATTATAATAATAATCTTGTCTATTCGTTTGTTTTTTGAAGCTAACACAGCAAATATCATTCAATGTATATGAAAGCGCGCGTCAAAGGTTGGAACGAGCAAAACAAACACATACTACTGTCGGTCGTCTTCACGTGCACCAGTCATAATTTTAAAGTTCATGGACAAGAACATGTAGATAACAAAAAGGGTGGATCGTTTGGAGTAAGGAAGGGATAGAGAAAAGGTTCATGGAACATCACAAAAAAAAAAAAAATTTTTTTTTTTGATGAAAACACGAAATGATAAATTTGCGGATCACGTGAAAATCTTTGTGTTACAAAATCCAAATTTAGACGAATATCAATCCCATAATTTTCTCAATTTCGAAAATTCCCTATATATATAACAGAATTGAATTTATAACAACTCATACTTACCTGGCGCGGTATTTCTGTGATCAATAAGGCAGAGATGCGGGCGTTGTTTGCCAGCATTGCACTACGCTGGCGGCTATCGCTCCGAACATCCTTATGGATGTCTCGAGCGCATAATTTCTGGTAGTTGGGGTGGTTATGGTTCGCCGTGGCTGCCCCTAATTTTATTTATTTTAGCGGTGAGGGTAAAAGTGGGAAAGGGATAAGTTATTACTGATTCGATTTTAAAGTAGTATTTTTTTTTAAGTCGATATTGTTGATATTAAACGCGCGTAATTAGTGGACAATGTGGACGGTGACAAATAGGAACTTTATTATAAAGTCACATGATACTAATATTTTTCACGTGCCGCTTAAATTTTTAAATCATCTTTTTTTAGTATCAAGGCATAAAATAGGATAGCAAAATTTCCGGACAAATATCCGGTTACATAAATTTTACCGGATCCTTTTAAAATTTTCCGGAAAAATATCCGGTTTTGAAAAAATTTACCGGATATTTTTAAAACAAATCGGAGATCTCCATTTTTTACAGTACTATTTTTTGCCCTGGTATCAAGTACTTTGAATCGCAGTTTTTAAAGTACATTTAAAAGAATCAACGATATAATGAATAAATTTTTGAAAGAATTTTTGCTTTTTTATCAATATGCGATGATTTGTAAATGCAATGATTTATAAAAGTTAGGAATGTAAATAAATATTTACAAGAGATTTGAGTTTTTTCGGATTTTTTTTATTCGAATTTATTTGAATGTCTTATTGTTTATTTATTTATTTATAAATTTTTTTGCGTTTTTCGTTAATGTTCATTAGTAATGTAAATGATACGAAATCCTTTTTATATATATTCCCATTTTGCTGAATGCTTTGCTCCGGTATTATTTGTCAATCAACTTAAATTACAAAATATCGTTAAGATGGGACATTAGGAATGGAACCGATTCTAAATTCAGCATATTCTTGAATTCTTGAATTACAACTATTTTTACCAATTTTAAAATCGAACCGGACCGGCCCAAAATAGTTGGCTCTAAATCGTACCTGTCATCAAATTAAGATAATTATATACCGAATTTGTTTGAACTCTCAGTCTTATTTTACTAGGAGAGCCGAAGCAGAACCGAAGAGGAACCGAAATGGGACCGAGAGAACCCTATCCCTATGGAACATCCAGTCCGAATTTTCGATAATTTTCAAAAAAAAACAAACGAAATATTCGTTTCCTTCCAAAATTAATTTCAACAAAGAATATGAATCGGAAGAACTACAGTTTAAAATTATTAATAAATTAATAACATCATTATCAAATTTTCTTAAGACAAGGTTAATAAAGCTAATACATCATTACTCTTTTTTTTTTTTTAATTCCATATGATGGTCATGCATCTTTCTTAATACATTCTCTATTTGAATGGAACAGTGAAATACATTCTTTATAATTAATATCAAGTTAAATAATTGAACACGAACAATTGAATATTAGTTCACTTACTTAAATTATTATAAGAGCTTTTAATGAAAAAAAAGGCAATCATTTTTTATCAATGCTTTTTGATATTTCGATATTCATTATAATAAAAAAAATAAATAAATACTAATATCACATTATTTATTGTTGTAAAATATAAACTACTAAAATATATTTTTTTTATATTGATATACAGTATATTTATTTTCATTTTTTAAATTTTTACAAGATTTTATTATGCATGCAAATAATTTTCAAAAAAAAAAAAAAAATATTAATTTTAAATAAATTTCTTTTATCTATATAATAAGTAAAAAATATACTTAATACAAACTTTTTAAAATTTTTATAGTCCAAAGGGGATGTATTTAAAGAGAATTGGCATATCATTTATATCAAAGTAAAATTTTAATTAAAATAATAAATTTTATAAATAAAAAATTATATTTAATATATTAAAAACAATTATTTTATTTATAAAATAATTTATTCATCATACTATGCAATATTATCGTCTCTTTTGTCATCTGGTCATATTCCTCCTTTCTTCATTTTTCATATATATTCTGAAGACAGAAAAATTTTTTAGTTGTAAAAATTCTTTTTATGCCTTACGTTAAATATCATTTAATTTTGACCAGTATTATATAATTTTGCATTGAAGTAATACATTACATAGTGTGATAAATAAATTTACTCTTATTTATTTATTAAATATTAATTATAACTGATTTTATATATACAGTTATTCCTCTCTATAGTTACCTTCTCTACAATCACATCATATATACTTTATTACAAATATATGTTTTATATCTATTATATTATATAAAAATTCTTTATAATCATAGCATTTTATAATCATATTCTTTTAGAACTAATACTTAGTAATAATAAATAAAATCTTCCTATATAATCACATTTTATTATAATTATACTTTTTATATTTGATCCTGAGGGATGTAGCTATAAAGAAATATATATAAAAATAATTATTATTTATATAATAAATATAAATTTTATTAAAACTTTTTATATAATCTATAAAAAATAATCAATCATTATTTAGATGATATATTATATTAGTCCTTTTTTTAATTCTTAACATTAAAATTAAACAGAACTCTAATAAATTATTAAATAATAAAGGTAAAACTGATAAAATTATATTTAAAATAAATTTGCAAATTTCATAAAAAAAAATAAAATTTATAAAGTAATAAAATTATATTAAGACTATAATAAAAATTAATAAATTAAAAGTTTAACATTTATCAATTTAAAATAAGTTTAAATAAATAATCTTATATGGGGCTGGAAGTCTATACTAGACAATAAAAATGTAACATTTAAAAAACTTTCAAATTTTTTAAAAAAAAGAATTTAAGAAAAATAAACTAATAATTTTATTCTTTAAGATAAATGCTATTAAATTACCAATAGATTTTTCAAAAAAATGTCTACATAAAAAATTATAAGCATTTAAAGTTAGGTAATTTTCATATGATAGTCTCAAATTTGAAACGAATCATATCACGTGAATGCAATTTTATTGGCTAATGTTTTTCGTAATTCTGGCTGAAATTATAAAACTTAGTACTAGCCTGAATTATAATAACTAATCATTCACGAGAAAAGCGAGTGATCATGAGAAATTTATTAGATTATCATATGTGTATGAGAAAATTTTTATTTTGTACCACTCTTAAAAATGCCACATAAACAAAAAGGCAAAAGCAAGTTAGTAAAATACTAAGAAAAAAAGGATATTATATATCTAAGAGTCAAGCAAAAACTGAGATTGAGGCTGTGAAAAATAAAGAATGGATAGAGAATGAAATTATCGAAGATTGGATAGAAGAAGATATTAATGATTAGACGAAAGAAGATTTAAATGAATTTAAGAAAATAGGAAAAAAACTTATTTCCGAGGTTCTTCATTAGCATGAAAATGCTACAAGTAATATTAGAGTAGCATATAATGGAACTTCAAGAACTACAACTTGGAGAAAGAAAAAAAAGAAGAAAGAATTAGAGCATAATGCAAAGGAAATGAAAACTCTTGATACATTATTTTTAAGTGCTAAAGCATCAACTAATATCTTCTTACCAAAATCATTGCAATCATTACAATCAAAAATTCCATCTCCATCTTTATCTCTTCAAAATCCTTCTTTAATTACTGAAGAAATCACAAGAAACTTACAAATACGCTTAAATGAAATAAATCAGCAGTGCTCAATAACAAAATTTGTAAAAATAAATAAAAATGTTTATACCTATGACTATCTACGATATCTAAGTATACGTAAATACATGCAGTTATTATTGATAGTTGTGGTAAGATGGATGCCAGTAATCAAATTGCATAAACCATGTAGAATAAAGGTGATTATGTTGCGAGGTGTATATGAAAATGGGGAGCCCATTTTATAAAGACAGAAGAACTTCTTGTCTATTATTAAGAGAAACATGCAAAATTGGAAAGTTTGCTAAATAATGAAGATTTTAAGAAAGATTGCCAAGTATGGTTGCAACAGCAAAATCTAGAGTCCCGTACCTCCAGAAATCTGAAAATATATATTGAAAGAACAGTATTTTCAAAGTTAACAGACTACATTAAGAAAGACACAATTTCTGAAAAAACCTGTTGAAACTACATGCATTTGTGAAATATAAATATGATGAAAGAAAGAAAGAAATATATTATGATAGGCATGAACAATTAGACATAGTGATGTATAGAAAGGAATGGTTGAAAAGGATGTTTGAATATCAGAAATTAATGAAAGATTTTGATAGTGATTTGATAGATATTATTATAGAATCTCAGCTTAATCCGGGAGAAAAAGAAATAGTTCAAGTGACACATGATGAATGCCATTTTTATGCAAATGATGAACAACAGAGAATCTGGATGAGAGAAGATAAGGATATCTTACGCTCAAAACACCAAGGTCATTCTATCATGGTTTCAGCCTTTTTTTGTTCATGTCACGGATTATTACGATTATCTGATAAACAATTACAAGCAAATCCACATATCAAAAATAAAGAAGCTTTAGTTTTTCGTTCTATACAAACAGATAGATATTGAAAATCAGAACATATGTTAGATCAGGTACATAATTTAAGATTAGAGTTATTATAAAAAAATAAAATTAATTTTTTTGTTAAAAAAAATAGCTCGTACATCAAGCAATTCCAATATTTGAAATATTACACTCTGGTTATATTGGAGTTTTTTGCTTTGACTAATC